TGCGTCGCGTGGAAAAGTACCCGTACTTTTTACGACACGTCTGGGTGAGACAGACATTGCTGAACCCTATCCGCAGACAGATCGCATAAGGTCAAGGTCCAATCGGACTCGGCCACGTATGGAAAGACTCGCCCAACTGGGACGAACTTCCTCCGCTCCTTTCTGCAGATATTGGACTCCTGTTTGAGTACGTGACGGAGACGATTGAACATTTTGGCGAGGACAGCCGCCGGAAAGTACCGGTACTTTTTCCAACACGTCAGGGTGAGAAAGCGTTATTGTTTTTCGAGCGTCATCACGTCATCACTCGGTGGGGTACTCTCGCGCGTAGCCGTTCGTTGTCCTCGCATCGCCATGGGTATTTTTTTTGAGAGATTTTTCACCATCGGGAGATATCGATCGGGTACCGTGTATAGGTATACGTGCGCCACAGTACGTGGACGGACATTCGGCTGGGCGACACCATCGGGAGATATCGATCGGGTGCTGTATATAGGTATACGTGCGCCACAGTACGTGGACGGACGTCTGGCTGGGCGACACCGATGGGTGCCATCGCGCGCGCTGGCGCGAGTCGTCGACGCGTCGCGCGATCGCGGCGACGGTGGCGTCGACGCGGACGCGGCGCGCGCGTGATCGACGCGCGCGCGCCGGAGGTCCACCGCGGCGCGCGCGCGCGCAACGCGCGAGCGTGGACGCGGGCACCGATCGCGACGAACGGGACATCCGACGGCGTCAAAGTCAACGCGCGGCGCGGTGCGCGCGCGCGGTACGGAGACGAAAACGCGGGATGGCGTCAATGTCGGTGCGATGAACGCGAACGCGCGCGCGTGGGGTGGGCGCGCCGGTGGGGAAGGGGTGGCCGCCGCCGGCGCGCGCGGACGCGGCGCGCGCGTCGCGCGACGCGGCGCGGCGTTCACGCGCGAAGACTTTGAGATGGAGCGGCAGATCGGTGAGGGGTCGTTTGGGGTGGTGTATGAAGGGCGCGTGGTGACGAACGGGGCGAGAGGGCTG